TACTTTAACCCCATTTTTCTTATTAACCCTTTGGTCCGGGTTGGAAGCAGCAGCCCCCACGCTCTGTTTTTACGGTGGCGGTGAAATGTTCTTGTTCCGTGTGGCTGCCTCCGGGGACAAGAACTGACATTGCTTGCGGTAAATGTGCACAGCAAGGGAGAAAGAATTGTCCCACCCGACCCAGCTCCAACCCCCGCACCACCACCAAAGCGTCCCCACAGAGTCGCAAGAAACTCATCGATTAGAGAATCACGCTTCTACTGCTGGCGTGTTGGTTCCGACCGACCCGACCCAACCGGCCGTCCGACCGACCCAAAAATCTCGTCTCATCGTCGGAAGGGAAGAATCATAGAGAATTTCTTTCACCGTCACCTTTTGCTTCATCCACACACATGCAATCACTTGGAGTGATTGTTGACAATGGGGGCGGATAGAAAAAGAGAGAGAGAGAGAGAGGAGAGTGGGGTCATTCACTCACACGTCCCCCTTTTTCTTGCTTTGCCTTTTAACTTTTGCTTTGCTGCTGCTCGCTAGTAGTTTGTTGGTTGGTTAGTTGGACCCCACGGCAATAATTTTTGACCCCATGGGTGAGTCCACCACCCCCGAAGAAGTGGAAACAAACATTCGGAAAATGGGAGGGAAATTCTGTGCTCATTGGCCATTGCCGGTAACGTTTTGCTTTTGCTTGCATTCCAAGGTAAAATAGGACTTGTCGTTATGATATCATCAATCAATCAAGCGGTGGTGGAACACTTGGAGATGATGGATGAATTCATTCGTCGGGTTTTGTTCTCTTCCTCTTGGCCTCTTCTGTTGGAACAGCAATACCAAAGATTCAACCAGATGGACGCCCGTGAGGCCTTTCGTTTGTTTTTGTCTGAGCAAGCGAGTGGATGTATGATCTCTTCTAGGCTGCGAGTGTGTACTCATCTCCAACTCGAAAACTTCACCCAGCCTTCAAAAGCCCCGCCTACACGTCGATCTCTCCGTCAACCTTTTAAACAAAGGTAAATGTTGCGCAAGGTGGCAATCAGTCCTATCCAGCCTTCATTTGGCCACTGCTTCAAATTTGAAGCTCAAAGTTGACGTCGATCACGAGTTTCGATTGTTAAAAACGAGGAGCTTCATCTCCATTTTTCTCATCTTAGAAAACGAGGAACACGTCAAGCTAAGACTTAATGAGAGAAACAAAAGGGGATTAAACCATAGATGCTTTCCAAGCAAGAAAGACCTTGTCCATCCTTGTCTGAGCTAGAGGGTCTCGTGTGGGCCTCTTTCCTTTTCCTTTACAGCATTTACAAGGGAGTGAATGAATCAATGGTCTGATCCCATTGTCAATCCCATAATAGATCTGTGTTGGTTGGAGAAGAGAAAGGTGCCTGATGCTCGCTAGCTATAAATTCCCTGGAAATTGATTGAAATCATACACATTCCGCCCCTTTGTTTGTTCCAGTCCCTTGTCACTCATTCATTTCACTCATTTCCTCAAGAATGGTCGATGGATGCATAGATGAAAAAAAAGCTCTATGATCACACAACGGTAGGAGCCCACGCTTTCAATATGTGTAGTTGGAAGAGCACACATACACACAGAACGCAGTAGTCTCTTACACACAACAACCTCATCGTTTTCCCGATTGCTTTTGCTGCTCTCTCGCTTTTGGTACACGCCACGCCAAGCTCACGCCACTGAAAAAAATACACATATATTTCTTTTCTCATGAAGCCAGTAGCTTTGGTTTTGGTTGTGGTCACCAGCCTACAACACTTTGTACACTGACTGGTTGATTGGGAGGATCCCTCCAAATTGACGTTTATATCTCTTTTTTATCTCTTTGGACCAACATAGCGATCCAAACCAGGCGATATAAACCTTCAGGAGCAGTGACCAGAGCCAAATTGGTACGCAGGTGACCATACCAGTCGACACAAGCAAGACTTGGAAAAAATCTTCCAGATCGAATCAAAAGAGCCTTGCTAAAGTTCTGGCAATCAACTGTAGAGCTCTCAGGCTCAGCCCATACATGTATAACGTGAAGCCATGATAGTTTGGAAACGAAAGTTTGTGGCCGGCTTGTCGGCCTGAGAGATATGTCGGTGATTCGGCTGCCGGCCGGCGGTCCCCCACTGGCCGGCGACCGGCCCCTTATCATGGGGTCATGAATTATTGGATTTGTATCTCCGGGGTCGAATATGCGCGCGCAACTTGCCCAATGATACAGCAAAAGTGTAGAGAAATGTGGGCGTGTAATGCCAGATGGGGACATTTGGAGTTTGGAGCATATGCATTTCCACAGAGTTTCTTTCCTTTTCTTTTCCAACACCTCCCAGAGCACAACGAGCTTAGACTACTCAAAACAATTGCAATCACGTTATCATAGTTTTATGACTGGGCATTTTGGGCAAGCAACCCTCACTCACACCAACACCAAAGTGAAACATTAGATTCTCTGTTTGGATTTGTTGCATAATTCCATTGCTTGTTGTCGTTGGTCAGCTTGGGAGCTTGCGGGTGGTGTGGGGTCAAAGTCATGTGAATCATATGACGTGCCCCGCTTAACTCAAACTTTAATCAGGCTTTTGGCTGCAAACAAAGCCATCCAGAGAACAATCACATGATTGACGCTGCCGAATCATGTCGGGCAGCAAAGCGCAGCCGCCAATCAGAGGATGCCAAAATTTAAAATAATCGCGAGGCTCCACCCAATCAACCCAAAAGTGCACGTGTGTGCTCGCGACGGTCTTTTCTCCATTTTCTTAGGTTTTAGACGAGCCACTCCACTCCACTGGGAGTTCTAAAACACCTCGACAACGACTTAAAGAATCAACGAAAAGTTAGCTCTAGAAGATGCATCACCAAGACACTTTAGTTCTTTCTTATCCACGGGAGTGAGAGGTCTTTCTCGATCACATAGTAGTAGTCGTAGTAGTAGGGAGGGCGATTCGTATGGGTGTCTTTTCTTCCCTCTTTCTTCCAATTTTCAACACCACATTCAATCAATCGCTCGATTCCTTCCCAGAGCTCTTTAAGGGGGCATTTCCCACTGCATGGCAGCTTTGTAAGGTACTTTGGTTGGCCAGCAACACATTCTAACCTTCCCGCCTATCCAATCCATTACACACTTGTACGCAAGACACGCAGAAAGGCAAAAAGGTGGTGCCTTCTAACCTATTATATCGTGCACCCATAACATTCATGGCCATTGTCATAAGCATATGCCCTTGTCGGCCATGGGCATGGAATCCCATGGCATGCATGGCCGCGAATAAATGCCCACATACATGCTATCCATGCATCCACATGTTGGTACATAAATGCATCCCCTCCAACCCAATAATGCACGCCAATAAATATCGTTCGTTCCCACGTTACCGGTGCCGGGAAAGCAAGAAATTGAGATTCCTGGCTGGCACTGACCGGCCGGTTGGTAGAAGGAGTGCTCTCCAGTGCCACGTCACCTTGTCGCGGGCCAGGGGGACAGCTACCCTGACGGTGACTGTGACGGGGAGCGACCCCTCCGGAGGCCCGCGGTCAAATCAGTCAGCCATTAAACGCCATCATGAGGTGATATGTACGTAGCTCGGAGAGCATCATACGGTAGAGTAGCGTAGATCACGCTCCGGTTCCGAGGAATATCTCTTCCGTACAGAAAAGTACGCGATCTTAGTGATCACCTTGAGTGAATGCTGGAGAGCAGCACGTACGGCGCCGAATCCTTGAGCTCCATGTTGAAGACCTTGCCCGCTGCTTGAGCCCCGCGCTGGGAATCGTGGTGCATCTTGCAGCCGTTGAGAAGCGCGAGCCACACGGCGTCGTCCTTGAGAGGCATGAGCTTGATCACGTCCTCGGCCTCGTTGAGCCAGCCCGCACGGCCCATGAGATCCACCAGGCATCCGAAGTGCTCCACGTCCGGTTGGATCCCATACTCTGGAAGCATCGATCCAAAGCACTTCACCGCCGGCTCCAGCAGCCCCGCATGGCTGAAGGCGTAGAGAACATTGACAAAGGTGATAGGGTTTGTGCCGATACCCTCCTGTTGCATGAGGGCAAAGGTGTCCACCACCTCGCACACATGCCCACGCTGGGCATATGCCGCGAGAAGAGTATTCCAAGTGATGATATTTCTACACGCCATGCTGTGGAAAATGCCCTCGGCGTCGTTGACTGTGCCGCATTTCGCGTACATGTTGAGGAGCGAGGTCCACAGCACGACCCCAGACTCGGAGGTCAACGGGGCGGCGCCGCCTACCATTAGTGTGTGGATTGTCCTCCCCTGCTGCAGCGCCCCCGCAAACGCACAGCCCTCTAGCGCGCTCGCGAGCGTCACGCTGTTGGGCTTTACACCCTCAAGGCTCATCTCCCGGAACAGCAGCACCGCCGACGCGCCGTGCCCGTTCTGGGCATTTGCGGCGATGACGGCGTTCCACGAGACGAGGTTGCGGACGAGCATCGCACGGAAGGCGGCGGTGGCGGCGTCAACGCATCCGCACCTGCCGTACATGCTCACTAGTGCGGTGCCGACCATGACGTCGGTCTCCCAGCCGCGGATGCCGGCGTGCACGGATCGCCCCAGTGAGAGGTCCGCGGGGGCGACACACGCCGACAGGATGTTGAGGAAGGTGACGGAGTTGGGGCGCACCGGCGAATCCCCGCTGCTCATCACGCGGTACACCTCGAACGCCTCGGCGGTATGCCCGTTCTGGGCATACGCCGCCACCATGGTGTTCCAGGCCACCACATTCCGCTTGCCGGGGGGCATGGCGTCAAAGGCGTGCCGCGCGTCTTGCGGGCAGCGGCAGCGACCGTAGACGTGGATCACGGCCGTGAGGACTTGGCAATGGGAGTGGAAACGCGTGTGAAGAATGCGCGCGTGGAGCGAGCGGGCCTCGCGGACGCTTCTCGTCGCCGCAAGAACTCCCAAGATAGTGATCAAAGTTATCTCGTTGGGCTCCATCCCTTCGCAGTCCATTTGCCGGAAGAGCGATAGCGCCCCGGAATGATGCCCGTTCTGGGCATAGGCCGCGATGAGGATGGTCCACGAGAAGACGTTCCGTACGGGGAGGGAGTCAAAGGCGGTCTTGGCGTCGCGCACGCTGCCGCAGCGGCCGTACATCTGGACGACGAGATTGTTGAGCACGACATTCTTGTCCTGCCCCGAGGAGACAATATGCGCGTGGAGGCGCTTGCCGTAGGAGAGGGAGCAGTGGCGGAGGAGGGAGGCGTAGTTATCGAAACTAGGCGATGGGAGCTCCAGTTCTTGCGGATCATCCGAGGTGTGCTCCTGGCTGGCGACCGAGTTGTCGCGATCCACGGGACCTGGAAGCGCCGTGAGTAGTGAGCAGTGGACGCAAATGCCCATTCTGGGCAAATGGAGAAAACTTTAGCCCTTTAGAATCGAGCCATTTGCCATGCGATCGAGACCAACAATGTAACGAATAGCTCCAAAACTTAAAGCACGGTAAGAATTGGACTGTCCAAGAAAATGGCCAGCGAAAGAAAACAAAAGGGCGCTAGCTTTTCTCCTCGTTCGTCTCGTGCCGATCGTGGATTATAAAAGAATGGGACGCTTTGTTAGTCTCAATGATAAGTGGAATGGAAGTGGTGTTTCTTCTGCTTGTTTTATTAGGGCAATGTTGTTACGCTGCTTACATCACTAACGCGAGCGTTGTCGCTGGGAAGCTCAACGTCCATCTCGTTGCTCACAGTCACGACGATGTTGGGTGGATCAAAACGGTGGACGACTACTATGTAAGTTTTCTATCAAGACCAAGAGAGAAAAAAATGGCTTGTTCTCTCTTTCCCAGGACACTGTTAAGGGCATTCTTGACTCAGTCCTGGCTTCCCTGCAAGAGAACCCGGACAGGAAATTTGTGGAAGTTGAACAGGTTTGGCTTTGCGATCGCGAACTTAATTCTTTTCCCAATGGTAAAAATGCTGTTTTTTTCAGGCATTCTTTAGCAGATGGTGGAACGAGCAGAACTCTAGCGTTCAGGGGGTCGTGAGGCGGCTTGTCAAGTCTGGGCAGCTCGAATTTGCGTAAGTAGCATCTGATCACTTTGTTTAGTTCGGTTCTACTATTTGAGACAAAACTTTGTGAATGCTGGTTTTAGAAATGGTGGATGGTGCATGCACGATGAAGCCGCGACTCACTACGCGGATATGATCGATCAAACTACACTCGGTCACAGGTTTCTCAAGCAAGAGTTTGATGTAGTTCCTCGCATTGGATGGCAAATAGACCCGTTTGGACACTCCGCCGTGCAAGCATATCTCCTAGGCACTGAGGTGAGTTTGCAAAGTGACAAAACATCTCTGAGTTTCTCTGTTTTGAAAATTTAAAAACTTGTTTTTTGTTTTTCCAGCTTGGCTTTGATGGTCTGTTCTTCGCAAGGATCGATTATCAAGACAGGCTTAGGAGGACCCGAGACAAGAACCTCGAATTCGTCTGGGAAGGATCAAACACCTTGAAGTCTGACAAACAGTTGTTTACGAGTGTGTTTCTTCGCCACTACAATCCCCCAAAAGGATTTGATTACGAAGGAAGCGGTGGAATTATCATGCAGGTATTTATGTTTTACTATATCTTTGCTCCTTGTAAAGTTTTTCCTATGTCCAGGATGACCCTTCCAAAGGCGCTACGAACATAGGGGAGCGTGTAGAAGCGTTTGTAAACGCAGCCAAGGTGTATGTAAGTTTTTCCACCACCATATCCATAAGAACGGTCTCATTTAGTTGTTCCACAGGCAAATGCGACTCAAACAAATCATGTCATGTGGACGATGGGAGACGATTTCAAATACTACCGCTCTGCAGAGTGGTACACTGAGATGGACAAGCTGATCCACTACGTGAATAAGGTAACCGCGATCATCTAAATCGTTTTCTTACATTTTTTTGTCAGGATGGTCGAGTGAACGCTCTGTACTCGACGCCATCCATATATCTGGATGCTAAGCACGCGGCTGATCAAGTGTGGAATGTCACAAAGAATGACTTCTTTCCGTGAGTATAATTGAATTATTCCAAGAGCTTTAGACTAAGAATTCTGATTCAGATACGCGGACAATAAGGACTCGTTCTGGACAGGATACTATACCAGTAGACCCGTCTTGAAGGGCTACGTTCGTGCTCTTTCTGGTTACTTACAGGTACGTGCTTTTCTATCTTAGAAGCCTGTTTAACGCGAGAAGGAAACTATCGACAGGCGGCTCGGCAACTGGAGGCCTTGACAGGAAAAAGAGACCATCCAAACACAGATAATTTGTGGCGTGCCTTGAGTGTTGTACAGCATCACGATGGAGTCAGTGGCACCGAGCGGCAAAAGGTGGCTGACGACTATGCTAGACTACTTGCTATCGCAGCTTCCGAGGTTTGTGCTTGTGCTGTGTTTAATCTCTTCCCTGTTCTTCGATCATATCACCATCCATTCGTGCAGGCTGAGAAATCAATGAACTTGGCTGCTTCTTGCTTAGCAGCCGGCGTTTCTCCATCCGACTGCCTCAGAAAGAACGTTTCTTCCGACGCCGTTCAAGTGAGTTTACCATGGCCCTTGAAGCTTAGACTAGCCTGATTTTGTTTCAGTGTCCTCATCTCGATATAAGTTTTTGCCCCTCGTCCGAAAACATTACCAGTGACAAGCCTTTGGTAAGAGTAGCTTTTATTGCTTGCTTGGCGCTGCTTAGCTTTCTATATCATTCAGGTTGTCACTGCCTATAATCCTCTTGGATGGGCTCGTGAGGAATACATTCAAATACCGGTAAGTTCTCTCGACATTTCATTATCGTAATCCTTCTCGCGTATCCAAAGGCATTGTTTGTTCTTCTACCAGGTGAGCTCCAACGCTCTTATTGTCACAGACGCTACTGGCAAAGCAGTGGACTCACAGCTAGCACCCATCAGTGACGCAACCAAAAAGCTTAGAAAGCTTCATGCCGAGCTAGATATCGGCGTAATACCAGAAGACGAAACTCTTTACTCGCTCGTCTTTAAGGCAGTGGTTCCTCCTCTTGGCTTCAGCTCCTACCTTGTCAAGCCGTCCAAGCCCAATGAAAATGGCAAGTGGTTCGGTTTCTTGCATGTTTTCTGATTAACGTTCTAAGTGATCGATGCAGGTTCAGCTGGAAACTCTAGAGTATATGAGGCAAATATTACGGATTCGTCGACTGAGTACTTTTGGTACACTGGCGAAGTTGGAGGCCAGGTATTTCTTTACGTGATTTTTTAGTACCATAAACTTTTACTTTTACTCTTCTTTGATAGAACTCTGGTGCATATATCTTTCGACCAGCTGATAACAATCCAACTCCAGTAACATCATCTGTAAGCTCCTTGTGTTTTTTAATTTCATTCTGAAGTTTTATTTTTCTTTTGCTTCAGGTTTGGCTGGCTGTGGAGGGGCCTTTGTACAAGGCACGCCGACGACAAGTTTCACCTTGGATTTACGAAGTGAGGCATTCTTTTTTGCTTCTACATCTGAAAGTTCTTTCCAGGAGCATCGTCTTTACAATGGCGAAACCCATAATGAGCTTGAGATCACGGTACATATCAGTCGTCCTTGCTAGCGTTTTATGTTTTGAGATTCTTCTATGCAGGTTGGCCCCATTCCACTGGATGATGGCGTTGGAAAGGAAGTCATTGTGAAGGTCAAGGCGAACACAACGAGCAACAGCAAGTTCTACACTGATTCAAACGGCCGGGATTTTCTAGAACGAGTACGAGTTTCCATGAAACTTTCGAACTAAAAATTCATTCTTTGCATGGACGCTTAGGTGCGATCAAAGCAAGTGACTCAGCCCGTTGCTGGAAACTACTATCCCGTAAGTATTCACTTCTCTTTTTGGCACCGTAGTTTCTTAATCGTTGTCTTTCCGCAGGTAAACCTGGGAATTTATATCAACGATAACCAAACGGACTTGTCACTTCTTGTCGATCGAGCTTCAGGAGCGTCGAGTATCAACGATGGTGAAGTTGAGCTCATGCTTCACAGGTATTCATTTGATTCCAAACGCGTGTTTATCGTCGGGCTTTCACGCAGACGTCTAATGGCCGATGATGAAAGAGGAGTCTCCGAAGCTTTGGACGAGCAAGTTTGTATTGGGTCACAGGAATGCGAAGGTCTAACGGCAAGTAAAAGTCTCATTTTCGAACATCGTCTCAAATTTTTCTGCAGGTTAGAAGGATGGTTTACGTAAATTCGGGTCCCGTCAAGGAAGCAAGCCGATGGCGTCGTCTCAAAGGCCAGAGAATTTACTCTCCACTCCAGCTCTTTTTCAGCACTCCGGTAGATGATTATTTCTAGTTTGTTTCTTCTAACTTGTCCACCATGATCTTGTCTCAGAGTGGACAAAATGTTCCTAAGCAATTCTCGATGGTAAAGAGTGGATATGCTCTTCCAGACAATGTCGCGCTTCTCACAATCCAGGTTCTGAAGAAGTAGCAAAGTTTTCTCCAGGTGTATAACCTTGCTGGTTTTGATTTTACGTAGGAGCTGGAGGATAAATCCATCCTCGTGAGGCTGGCTCACTTGTTTGAGGTACGCAAGAACCTTTCCATCTCAAAAAAGACCAGCTTTTTACAAACGAAATGGCTTGTTTCTAGGCCGGGGAAGACGATACCCTCTCCAAGCCGGCAAATGTACAACTCAAACAGCTCTTCTGGCACTGGGAGGTATTCGTGCTCGAGTTTTCGATTCCGATCGCTTAAGGATTAACACTTCTTCCAGATACAAGGTGTGAACGAGCTCTCGCTGTCAACAAACCAAGACAAGAGCAGCATGAAGAGGCGTATGGAATGGAAAGTGGCCGAAAAAAGCGAAGGTGGAGCCAAGCGTGGAGCTCGGATCGACCAAAAGTCGCTGCTTGTGGAGCTCGGGCCGATGGAAATTCGTACCTTGCAGCTCACTGTCAAGCCAAAGAATGTCGTAACATTGATTTGACCCAAGTATGTCACAACATAGATGGCTTTCCAAATTCTAGCAGTGTTCTTTCGTTACTATGGAAGGGTCCACTGGAAATCTCGCGCTCTCGATCGCTATGAGCGCTTGTCACCATCTTTGATCCAAACAGGGACTCCTCGCTCCAATCCTCCACGGGAGATTACATGGAGCAATCATGAAATTCTCTACTTTGTCCGCGAGTAACTTTGCGTGCTCTTCTCCTTCATCGCTCTCTATCGAATTCAAGCAGCAAAACCTTGAGAAATCCAAAAGCCCGTGCGTCAATCCTGGCAGAAAAACATACCTCCTCTTCCAAGCAGCGCGCCACCTCACGCTTGAGACCTTTGCATTTCCCCGAAAAATTGGCGGCCGCGGCATGCTCCTTGTGGCAGCGCAAGAGGGAGGTGATGATCTGAGAGGCGACGAGTAAGGAGAAACCTACGCGCGCGATTGCCTACCTTGGCGCAGTGGGGATGCTGCTGGAGGACAAGTGGAGGCTGCATTCTTCGCCCACCAAGAACCCTAATTTTTTATAAAGAGAGCGCTCATACTTTCCACCACATTCACTTTACTATCATAAATTCCACGCTTGGGATCTATCTCGCGATCTCGATCGCTCTGAGCGCCCGTCACCATCTTTGATCCAATCCGAACTTCATTGATCCAATCGGAGCTCCGATTTGAGCTCACGCTCGCGAGAAAAACTTAAAATGTGTGTGGCGGGCGACTGGTAGCACGTCACACACAAATCTAGGGCTTATTGTCCTCTTCCCCTCTCGGCTATGGCGGGAGGCGACAGGGAGGACGCCTCCTCGCTCCAATCCTCCGGTGGCGCTGGAAATGTGAGCGTCGGCGGCGGTGACGGAGGAGGCGGCGGCGTTCGCAGCTTCGTCTTGAAAGCGGTATGTCTGCTGGGTGGTGTTCTTCTGCTCCGCAAGCTCACCAAAGCAAAGACGCGGTGGGATCACACTCGTCTCGTCGCCGATGCTCTCACAGGCGAGAAAGTAAGCGAGAGATCACCCTTTCGATCTTTCCATCGCTTTGTTTCTTCTTGTCTTCTTTGTTCTTCCCATTATCTTTGCTTGTGTGATCGTTTTGTTCCACTTTTCTTAGAGGTTGCTTTTCGTAGTTTTCCCAAGAGCAAGCGGCAAGGGATCCAATGACGTACTTCAATCTGAGGTAAGCGCGCTGGTTGTCGAGAACAGGAAGAATATTGAAAAGCTTTTGATCGCAGGATGCTGGCATGCCCCGCGACTGTTCTGGACGATGGAGCGAAAGTTCTCTACTTCGAACAGGTGCTCTTCTTGAGTATTTTTGGTTTTCATGCACTGAAACAAGAAAAATGATCTTTTGCGTTCTTCCAGGCATTCTGGAGAACGCCTGATAAGCCATATAGACAGGTATGCGCACGAACAACGCTTTTATGTATCAGATCAGAGAGTTCTTTCATTTTCTCTCCAGAGATTCTACGTTGTGAGGCCCTGCCCGAAAGAAATGAAGTGCGATGTGGAGGTAAAACACATCTAGCTTTGTAGAGTAGAACTTTCAAGTTTTTCGATCGCTGTAGGTTGGATCCTACGCTGTTCGTGACATTGAGGAATACAAGAACTTCTGTGAGAGGCCAAAGGATCAGCGACCACAGCCGGAAGAGATCCCTGGAGTAAGTAACAACAAGCCTTTCGAGCTGGGAAAAGAATTCACCTCTTTTGTTTGGATTGTCAAGGACATCTCCGAGCATTTAACTTCCGTCTATCTCTCCGCCTGTGCGCGAGGCCAACGTTGTCTCTACGAAGGATCAACACCTCCCGGAGGCTTTCCAAACAACTGGGTAACGAAAAAAAAAAGCATTTTACTTTTTCTAGAGTTCTTCACATTTTCCTCTTCGTTTCTTGGCAGAACGGTGCTTCCCGGTGCACATCCGAGCTCACAATCCTCAAAAGTGGAGAGATCCACTGCTGGGATCGCGCCTACGACGACGAAGGAAATCAGGTTCCTCAAAGTCGCTCTCGATTCTAAAACTTGCGTTTTTCTTTCTCTTCGTTCTTCTTTTTTTTCTACGCTTTGTTTGCAGGTGTGGGGTGTAAGACAGGGGCCATACGAATTCAAGCCCGGAACCTCCAAGAACAGATCTTACGTTGAGCATGACACAGCGTCCCTTTCCATTGACAACTAGAAACTAAGATAGTGTGCCTTTTGTAACATAATAGATTTTGGAATAATCCTACTCGAGATTGGGTTTCTAGGGTTCTTGGATTGATCGGCAATGGAGGACGAGGAGGAGCTGGAGCGCGCCGATGCCGACGACGAATGCGACGACGACGACGACGCCGCTGACGATTCCTCCTCGGCGCAGGAGGCGATCGATGACGAGGACGAAGAGCCGCGCCTCAAGTACAAGCGCCTGGGAGGTAGTGTTCCCTCTCTTCTCTCCAGCGACACGGCCTCGTGCATCAGCGTCGCCGAGCGGATGATCGCGCTGGGGACGCACGGCGGCAGGGTGCATTTGCTGGATTACCAGGGAAACCAGGTGAGTCTCCTATCAGTTTTTTTGGATGGAAATGGAATGGAATGGGATATCCAGGTGAAGGAATTCGCTGCTCACACTGCCACTGTGAACGAGCTGAGCTTCGATAGCGCTGGAGAATTCGTGGGGAGCTGCAGTGACGATGGATCCGTGGTGGTGAGCAGCCTGTATACCGACAGTCACGAGAAGTTCCACTACCACCGGCCGATGAAGGCCGTCGCGCTGGATCCAGACTACTGCAAAACAAATCGTTTTGCTGGCGGGGGACTGGCAGGGCATCTCATACTCAACAGCAAAGGCTGGTTTGGTCCCAAAGATCAGGTAGCGACACTTGTGAAGATTACTCTGCTCTCTCCATTTTTCTTTCATTCTTCAAAGCTTTGTCACGATCACTTCGGTTTTTCTACACCTTTTCTTTTGTTCTTTTGCAGGTGTTGCACTCGGGAGAGGGTCCCATCCATGCTGTCAAATGGAGAACGAGCCTTATCGCGTGGGCGAATGACGAGGGTGTCAAACTGTTCGATACAGCCTCACAGCAGCGCCTTACTTTTATTGAGAAGCCGAAGAACAGTCCAGACGCCGAGTACTTGCGTCCGCATCTAGTTTGGCAGGTTCGTGCTCATCATCTTTGGTATTTCTTCTGTATAGCATATAGTTTTTGTTTTCCAGGATGATGTTCACCTGTTAGTCGGCTGGGGAAATTGCATCAAGATTGCTGCCCTCAGAGTGAGGGGAGCTGACCTTCCTGGAGGCCTCAACTCCGAAACATTCTCTTTTGGGAAAAGGTTCAACCTTCTGCCGGGGACGAAGTATGTCGAGATTGTATCAGTTTTGCAAACTGAATACTTTATTTGCGGCCTGGCTCCGTATGGAGGCGCTCTCGTGGTCCTTGCTTACATCGAGAGGGAGGGCAGCAAAACGGAATCGGCAACGGGCTACTCTCCGAAACAGGTACATGACTTTGCTATTATTTCAGTACGTAACGTTAAACTACTAACTGTGCTAAGACAGGACATGCCCAACGGCCTGAAGTATGCATCTTGAACTGGAAAAACGAAGAACTGGCAACAGATGCGCTCTCTATGCATGGTTATGAACACTACAAGGCTAAGGATTACGAGCTTGCTCACGCTCCATTCTCTGGTACGATAAGATTTTAAAAAGCAAATTCATTTGCGTGTCGTGTGTAGGAAGTAGCACCGCTGGTGGCCAGTGGGCCGCTGGGTACGAGCCTTTGTACTACATTGTGTCTCCAAAGGACGTGGTTGTTGCTCGACAAAGGTTTGGCTAGAACTATAAATTGTACAGGCAGCTGATTCTTCTGCAAACTCTCGCAGGGATGCGGACGACCATGTTCAATGGCTTCTCAAGCATGGGTGGCACGAGAAAGCACTGGAAGCTGTAGAAGCTGGAAATGCTCGTGTCGAGCTTCTGGACGAGGTGTGTTCTTTTTCACGGTAAAAGACGATGGCCAATGCGTGTCCGTGCAGGTTGGTGCGCAATACTTAGATCACTTGATCCTGGGGAGGGAGTACGCGCTGGCAGCTTCTTTATGTCCAAAGATCTTGCGTGGTAGTGTTGAGGCTTGGGAAAGGTGAGGCTGCTATTTTTATTCCTGCAGATGTTCAGATGAGTAAAAGCAGGCGGGTATTTCATTTCGGCCAATTGAGACAGTTGCACGTCCTGGCCCCATACATACCAGTTGTCAATCCGCAGCTTCGCGATACTGTATATGAGGTGAGCTTCCGAATGTGCAGCGTGAGCTCTAACATGGACTTTTAAAAGTTTTAAGGTTGTCCTTGATCGGTTGCTTGTAAATCCGGCGCACCATGAGCAGTTCTTGGAGCTAGTTCGAAGCTGGCCCCAACACATTTATTCTGTACCCACCATTATATCTGCCGCTGAGATACAATGCAGTACCGGCGGAAAAACTCCTTTCTTACTCGAGGTAACTACTGGTGTTGTTTGAAGAGCGTAAGCTGATCCAGTGAGGATGAAGGCGCTTGCGATTCTTTACCTTTCTCAGAGGCAGCTTGAAAACGTGCTGAACCTATATCTCGAGGTATAACCATTCAAATTTACATGCGATGTTAACTATAAATTGTGTTTTTGCAGCTGCAAAAGCCCGCAGCGTTTGACATTATCGAGGAGCACCATCTTTATGATGCTCTTCATGGCAATGTAAGTTACATGTAAGCTACATGTGTAACCTCTGATCCATGTTGCATTTCTATTTTCTGATCAGATTGCCCTTCTAATGAAGCTGGATTCGAAAAGAGCCATTGACTTACTTGTTCAGCAAAGGGACCGAATTAGTGCGAGCGAGGTGGTTTCCTCTTTAGAGAACCTGCCTCAGGAACAGAGCCGCCGGCGTCTTTTACACGACTATTTGCATACTCTGTTCGAACGAGACACAAATGCTGGAAGAAAGTATCATGATTTACAGGTTTTGAAATTTATTTTATGGGAAGCTATAGACTATTAAATTTGTGTGCAGGTGGAATTGTATGCTGAATTTGAACCACGGCTATTGCTGCCTTTCTTGCGTAGCAGTCAGTACTACAGTCTTAATAAGGTACAAATTTGTTCATCTTGTTTTTTAAGATGTAATATATGTTTTTTACAGGCGTACGACGTTTGCACAAGGTTAAATCTTGCAAGGGAAAAAGTTTATCTACTGGGGCAAATGGGAAATGCGAAGGAAGCTTTAGCTCTGATTATCAATGAACTTAAGAGCATGCAAGCTGTAAGTATTTACAATGAATTTATTTCCTAGATGTAAACTCACAATAATTTTCGTCACTACAGGCTGTGGAGTTTGTGACATCTCGCAACGATGATGATTTATGGAACGAGCTTATCAACCAGAGCTTGCACAATCCAGATATGGTCAGTATAACTAGGTCGATCCTCATATATTGATACTCACACGATGGCTGGTGCACAGATTGGCGCGCTTTTGGATCATACCGTGGGAAATATTGATCCCATGCAAGTCATAAACAGAATTCCCAAAGACATGCCAGTGCCACGGTACGATATCTCGCCGTGACGAGGGACAATCTCCGTTGACATTGCGCTGTTTTGCAGTTTGAGAGACAGGCTCGTGAAGGTGATCACAGATTACAAGACGGAGACATCGCTCAGGGGCGGTTGCAATAACATTCTCAAGGTGTGTGTATCCGCTAAAAGATAGAGATCCTAGCTCTAAATTCCTCCCTTCCAGGCCGATCGTCGCGATCTACAACTGAAGCGCTACAGCTCCTCCAGGACGGCAGTGGTTGCCGGCAAGAGCCCGTGCTGTATATGCTCGGACCTCCTGGCAAGTCAGAGAGTGGCAGTGGTAACCTTCTTCTGCGGCCACTTTTACCACGTTACGTGCCTCCAGGACTCATCAGTGGCTACGAGTCCTGGCCGATCACCGGGCAGCGACGAGGAGCAAAGCGAGCGGTGCATCCTTTGCACTGAAGGAAGCCACAAGAAGCAGCAGCAGCAGCAAAGCAACAAGCCGCAGGCGGCGAACGGCAGCGCGACCAGTATTACCAGTACTCCAAACGCAAACTTCCTTGGGTGAAAGAGTTCTAAAAAGAGAGATGGAAGAAGAGTACAGAGCTGCCGAAGGAAAGATAAGAAGAGTACCGCCGCTGTATCATCGATTACAATAAACAAGGGAGGACGACGTCTCATTTGTTTTATGGGAACTTTTGGGGATGCTCATTTGTGGCTTAAAAGACGGGCATGTGATGCGCTACCAGAAAGCGAAAGGAATCTCAAATGCTTGCTTGCTCTTTTTTAACTTGAAAAGGTGGCGCTGATCTTTCAAATATACATACCCGAAATAAAGAAACAGGATAAAAATACGTTTAAGCAACTTTTTAGTGCATGGAATGGATGGCGGCGGGTGTCCTGCAAAAGCTTACACAAATTGCCCGATTGGGAAGTTGTGCCAGCCCAAAGAGCCACGCCTCCGCCACCTTTTTCCATGTTACCACCTTTTGGCAATCACGCTTTGGTTTGGTGTATACGTAAATGCGTATGTACGCAGGCTACAGTCGGGTTTCGCTTTCCACGTTTTGTGTTGTGTTTGTCAAATTCTTGGTCGACCGATCGGCTGCGTAGGTGGCGTGGAAACAGGTCGGCTTTGAAAAAAAAAGGAGGGATCTTGGCCGGCGGCAGTGCCCTACCTTCGATGCGATTCGAATATTACACGCTTGTTTCCATGGTTGGTTGGTTGCGCAACTTTAAGCCGCCCCACATTCAACAGGATCATGTGTTTGGTTGCACAATAAGATAGAAGAAAAATGGAAGGGGAAAAAGGATATTTCTTTATATGTTTTCAGCTGATAAGACCATTTTGTCCAAAGATACAAATCCCAAGCGCGGGCTTTTTGTTTGGGGATTCAATCGCATTCGGGGCATCCCACTTCCCAATAACATGTCATCATCTTCTCCTCCTGTTGGTGGTGGTGGAGAGGAGCATAGAGGCGTGGAGAGATTTCGATTCTAGGGCTTGACTCTCTTTCTCTCTCGGCCAAAGACCAAGAACAAAATGTCAACTTTGCTCGCAAATCCCCACGAGAACATTTGAAAACCACTAGTAGACAAACGCTGCGCAAAGAGCCTTTGAATCATGGGGCGCCCACTCATGTTACCATACAAAAAACTATACAACAAAAGTTCTTCAAATCGATTCTACCCTCTCCAATTAAGATATCAATCAATCAATCACTCCAATCGGTCAATCAATCTTCTATCCGGCCTTAAACAAATCCTCCTCTCATTCCTTGAAGAAAAAGCAGCAAAAGAAAAAAAGATGGAAGGGTCAGCCATTACCAGTACGGACGGCGCACGGCGTACGGCTGCGCCGCAGGAACCTGCCGGCCCGGTTTCCGACGGGGATTCGGACCGACAGCCCGCCGGCCGGCACGCGCGGGCAGACTGACAGGTGGCAGATACCGGGCGCCACGTCGGACGGCACCCCCGCCGTCGCCGTCACATCCGGCGTTTAAGAGCCTCCGTACGCCAAATGTGCGGCCGTCCGTTGATTCCCGGCCCTGGACGGTAGGGGTTTCGCCACGTCGGTTCTTTAGGGCTTTCTGCCGAAAAGTCAAAGCTCGCGTCAGTCTCGCTCTGTTACGTAGACGGAAGTGGTCCGAACGGAGGGATTGTTTTGTTTTGCCCACATTCTCACTTCACTCACTTGGGGGAGCTATAATCTCTCGAATGCTGTGCCAGACATTTTCTTCTTCCTCCTCCCTCGGCCTTTAGGGCAATCAAATCTCACCACCGCGAAGGGATCTGCGCAAATTCTCTCCGCTCTCCCCCTCTCTCTCCCTTTCTCTCTCGATCGCGTCGCTAATTCCAGCTCGTGAGTCGTGATTGCGCAATTCCCCCTCCCCTCCACTCGCCACCGGTGTGGGTTTTAGTGTCTAGATTTGGCGCCCAGATTGCTTGCGTCGGTAGAGCTCACTCACTCACCGGCTCTCGCGTGGAATCAACGACAGTGTCGAGAGAAGATCGTGTATATGTTCTTCGCCATCACAATCTAGCAGCCTTGAAAGTTTTCACCGATTCTCTCTGCAGTCCCCAGGCTTGCTCGCTCGCTCGATCGCTAATCGCGGTATCAAGTTCACACGCACGCGCGCGAGCGAATTCCCTCGTATATCTCTACAGATTGAAAACACAAACACTCTCCACAATAAAATTCCGATTTTGCAGCCATGGTTAGGTGAGTGAGCGCATTTCATCCCTGTCCAAATCCTCCATCCGCAAAAACATATAAAAATTTGCTGGCTTTCCTCCCTTCTCTCTTGTTTATCCTTTTTCTATCGTAGCGCCATAGCTAGGAAGCTTTCAAATAAGGAGGAGAGAGAAGATCGTCACTTCACACACTATGCCGTCTGACCCAATGTCTTGTACAGGCATACGCTGCTGGCTCCAGTAACTACCTAGAGCTCGTACTACACACCAAAGAAATATGGAGGAGGAGAGGATGAGATCAAATAACTAGAGGACCAAAGCCCGAGCTCCTCCTCTCTCTCTCTCTCTCTCTCTCTCTCTCTCTCTCTCGCTTTCTCTCTCGCAAGATCTTGCACAGTCGGCCTTTTAGGATCAATCCCCACTTATCTCTCCAGGCAATTTGAGGGTAGCTTCTCTTCACTCTCTCAAATCCAAGCTCAAGTTCAACTTTAGCTCATTTTCTTCTTTTCTTGTCCATTTTTTCGGCGATTTATTCTTGCTGGACGCTGCTGCTGGGCTTTCAATCTTCCATCTTGCCTCTGGCCAGAAAGCTAAAACGAGAACGAGGAAGGAAGAAAAGAAGGAGAGAGGATATGGCAGTGGCAGACTTACAGGGTCGTTAAGTGTAGTTCTTTGGAGCCCAGGTGTGTGGAAGAACACAAGGCCAGGACAGGGAGAAATTCAAGGAGAGCGGCCAGTAGCGGGGAAATCGTGCGCGTAGCTCTCCTTTAAAGTAGAGTTCCCGAGGCTATGGCTTTCAACTTGCCCCATAATATGTCACTGCAGCAATTGACAGAGCTCCAGGAGGCAGTGGTCGCGTCCACCGCCGCCACCACCACCAGCGCCACCACTTCCAGATTTAATGCTTCCACCGCCGCTGCGAGCGACACCAGGCATGCTGGTACCACTACCTCCTCCACCGCGATCACTATAGCCACTGCCGGGAGCACCAAAGATCAAGCCGCCACTGATGCCACAGTCTCGCGAGCTCGATCTCGCCAGCACGACGACGATGGCGATGGCGGGGTGGAGGACGAGGACGACGAGGAGGAGCAAGCTGTGGAGGCCGGCGGTGGGAGGAGGAGAGAAGAAGATGGAGGCGGCCGGGATCAACGGGAACAAGCTCTAGACGAAGGAGGAGATCAGGATGATCAAGGCGGGGATAGCAGGAATCCCTCGCTGCTACTGCTGCGCGGTAAGAATCACAAGGCTGGAGGTGGAGGTGGACTAGCTCCCAGTGGCCCGACATGGCTGAGCAACGCAGTGATGCCCCGGCAGCCATCGCCATCGCCAGTAGCGGCTGCGGGAGCTCCGAATTACAGTCAGTGGTTGGCAATGCCTCAGCCGCAAGTGACTTCCACGGATCTTGGAGAGCAATCGCACGACGCCGCCGCGGCCGCCGCGGCCGCTGCCAAGGGGTTTCTGGAGCATTTGCATGGCGACACCGCTAACAGTGGCGGCGGGGGTGGCGGCGACATGGTGGCGGAGGAGCAAGGTGGCGGCGGCGGGGGGATGGATTCCAAGCTCTGGCAGAGCGCGCGGCTCAAGGCGGACTTGGTCACGCATCCGCTCTACGAGCAGCTGCTGTCGGCACACATCTCGTGCCTGCGCACCGCCACGCCGGTGGATCAGCTGCCCAAGATCGACGCGCAGCTCGCGCATTCCAGCCAGGTTGCTGCAAAGTATTCCATTCTCGCGGCCAACGAGCAAGGCCTCAGCAAAGACAAGGACGAAGTGAACGAATTCATGGTAAGTTCTCTCTCGATCGCCCCCTCTAGAAGAAGTTCTAGATAGATCGTGAACTTGAGAGAGAGTGAGAGAGAGAAACACTGGAAGCATAGTGACTGCATTCTTCTTCTCCTACAAATCCATTCGAAGGCCAGGAATTTGCTGCTAGACTCGTGCTCTTGTTCTTGTTCTTTCTCTTGGTTTTCTTGTCGTTTTAGTGTGTTTTTCGTTTTTTTTTTTCTTTTTGTTTCCTGCAACTTTACATTGACCGACACTTTTGCGTGTTTTCTTTTTTTTTTTTCTCTCTTTTTCCTTTATATTTTTTTCTTGTCTGATCAGGCACACTATGTGACTTTGCTACGCTCGTTCAAGGATCAGCTCCAACAACACGTCCGTGTGCACGCCATGGAAGCCGTCGTGGCATGCTGGGAGCTAGAACAGTCCTTGTTCACGCTAACAGGCAAGCATAACTTTACAAGCCGCTCCAAAAGAGAGGTTTTTTTTTTTTTTCCCTCCTTTTCCAGTTTTCTTATGATCGTTTGTCAAAAAGTAAGTCAGTCAGGACAATCCTTCCCTCCTTTTTCTTCAAGGCAAAGAGAAGAAGAAGAAGAAGAAGAAGAAGAAGAAGAAGAAGAAGCGTCCATAACTCAAAGTCACTCAAAGTCATGACTTAAAAGCTCCTCCTTTCTCCTCCAAGGGAGAGAATTCTAGACGAGTGAGAGCGTCTGCCAGCTTTTTCTACTGCTTTCTCCACTGTTCCTGGTTTGGTCGAGTGGGTTCTTGCGGGAAAAAACAGGAAAAATCTAATTTTTATCCTACAAAACTTGCAGGCGTTTCTCCCGGCGAGGGAACTGGCGCGACAATGTCCGAGGACGAGGACGATCAGCAAGCCGACAGTGATTCCGGCTACTACGACGCGGGGATGGACGGCCACGATTTCACAGGCTTTGGGCCCCTCATCCCCACCGAGACAGAGCGGACTCTCATGGAGCGCGTCAGACACGAGCTCAAGATCGAGTTAAAACAGGTAAAGCGACACAAACTCCCTTTGGTTTTCTGGAGTGACAAAATCGAATTTTGATGACCACGCAGGGATACAAGGCTAAGATCAACGACGTACGCGAGGAGATTCTTCGAAAGCGCAGGGCCGGAAAGCTTCCAGGCGATACAACGTCCGTGCTCAAGACGTGGTGGCATGCACACTCCAAATGGCCGTATCCATCCGTAAGTTCTTCTTTTCTACGCCCATACGCTTGCTTCTACAAGCGAGCCTCTATTGACAAGATTGATAGATTTTGGATCCACAACCGAAAGAAAGAAGAAGCATGGAATCGTTTATGCTTATTTTTTTTTCGCCTTCTAATTTCTACGCGTTCTTCCAGGAAGATGACAAGGCACGTCTTGTCCAGGAGACCGGATTGGAGCTCAAGCAGATCAACAATTGGTTTATAAACCAGAGGAAGCGAAACTGGCACAGCAATCCATCCTCGTCCACGTCTCTAAAAAACAAGCGCAAGAGGTGAGTGATTGCGTTTTTCTTGCTAAAACTGCGAAGTCGCGCTTCTTGTTCTTCGTAAACTTGACTTGTAGTTCTTCTCATGATTTCAGGTGATCCACCGTACACGGAAAGAAACAAAGAGCGAAAAAAGAAAGGAAAATTACACAAAGAAAGAGAAAGCGAGCGAGCGAGCTTTATAAAAGTTAAGCCAGCACTCACACAAACAAGGCGTGCCAAAGGATTTGCATCATAGCATTGCCAAAACTAAACTTTTGCTCCACATGATTACAGGTTTTGCTGATTTGACGAGCCATAGATTCAATCGAGCGATCCCTCCCCCTTGGCCTCCATCCTGTTTTGCTTTTTTGGCTTCTCGATCCGATCGAAGATCATCTACGAAAGAGTAATAGTCCCGAGGAAGTAAAGTTTCAAAGTCACCTGTGAGTGTTTTTTAAGTTGGTGGTGGCCTGGATTTGTTTTTGTCACTCGAGCAAAGCGATGCATCTCTTCAACTCCTTGCAGGAGCACTGCGGGTGGCCGTATTGAGCCCAGCCATTGAATCCTCTCTCCAGCACGAAAACTTCGGGACCGCCACCACTGCTGGAAATCGAGTGGAGGAAAGCCTTGGCACACTTTGGTCCGCGAACCTGATTATCCAATCCAAACATGAGAATCACCAATCCCGAAGAGAAAAAAGAAAGAACTTTAGAAGGAAGAATATCTAGTCTAGTAGCAGTGGATGAGAATAGTTGAGCTAGAAAGTAGTTCTTCCTGCTAGATCTTCCGTGGAAAGAGATGTGAATTATACCTGGCTCAAGGCACAGTGGAAAACGACCGTCTTGTGGCGGCTCAAATCTTGCAGCAGTCGCGGCAGATCGTCTTGGAAACTGTGACTCTCGCAGTGGAGGGAGCCAGCTATGTGGCCGTCGTAGGCTCGCTCATCCTCGTCCCTGGGAAAGGAAGGAGAGATCTCTCAAGGGCTCTGCAATGCGTGAAAAATCGCTACGCATTTCCTTCTTACCGGACATCGATGATCGCTACGTCCGGCGATCCGCGCAGGGCCAGTAGCTGCGCGGCGCTCATGAAGCGCAGCTGGGGCGATGCCCCCGCCGCCGCCGCCGCTAGCGCGGCCATTGCCGTCGCCGCCATCGCTTGGAACGAGGAGCCCTAAAAAAAAATTTGGGCGCCGGCCTTTTCACCCTTTTGACTTTTAACAAGTTACAAAAGGTGAGTTTCTTTTTTTTTTTCCTTTGATTCAAAGAAGAACCAACTTGCTTCCCAAGAACAGTGGAACAACTTTCCTCTTCCTTGCGAAGAGAGACAAAAAATCCAACTTATAGATCGATCACTCCCGCGGCCAAGGAGCTCAAAACTCCCACTTGGACCTCCAAGAACATCATGTAATCCACCGCCTCCTGGAGCAACACCGCCGAGCTCTTCACGAGCCGGCCTCCGGGAATCAAATCCTTGAGCACTTCAATGCGGCCCTCCGTGATCTCGCATGATTGCCGCCGAGACTTTCGCAAGCTCCGCCTCAGGCATACGCGGCTCCTCCTCTTGGACACACAGCTCCACACTCTAGATGATCCGGAAGCTCTGCGAGCTCGATGGACTCGGCGACGATCTCCTCCAAGAACCTGGCGAGCCAGAGCTCCACTCCAGCAGCAGCTAGTTCCTCGAGCAGTGGCCGCCAGCGATCCATCCGCGACCAGTTTTATCACCTGATCTCTCTCGTCCACGCTCAAGCTCGACGAGCTCCTCATCACCGCGGCCAGGGAAGGGAGGAGATAGCCGGCATACTTCCTTCCGTAGTACTCCTCCATTCCTCTCACCTCGATCGATCGATATATAAGTTACATCCACCGATTAAACAACAAAGATCTTGCTATATTCTAGAGTGACACGAGAGAACCTTGGAGGGGGGAAGATTCAGCGCACACACACACACAAAAATAAAAGATCTTTGCGAGGCTCGCGGTCGTGAACAGTGAAGCGCGAGTGGCTTTTTATACACCCGTCCATTAAGAGAGGAGTTTCCCTCCTTCAATCTCACACTTCCTCTCTCGCTGGAGTGGATTGAGAGCATCGCAAAGGCAACGACCGCGACGCGGCTTAATCAATGGGAAAGCAAAGCCAAAAGAGTACCGCTTCCCTGGCTATGGGCTTAAATTCACTCGCTCTCTCTCTTTCGATCATGTGTGTGGAGGAGAGCATTCCATTTCCCAGGCTGGAACCACCAGGGCGATCGAGCCCCAAGCTCAATCAATCAATCAATCAATTGGACAGGAGCGAGCAATCAAAGTTAACAACAGCAAGAGCAAAGGTTTTCCATCCCATCCTCCAACCAAACGCGAAAACGATAACGGGCCAAGCCTCACAGCATGTGGATTGTGGCAGCAAGTTTTTAAAATTTTTATTTATCTATTTCTTCGGTTCTTTTTTTTCTTCCGATATTTTTTCTTTTGTTTTTTTTGCTTTCTCCGTTAAATGCGTGGGAGTAATTGCGATTCTTTTCTTTTTGTTTTTGCTTTCTCCGTTAAGTGCGTGGGAGTAAATTCACCAAGCGGGATCCGCAGGCAGATCTCCAACTTCCAGACACAAAATTTATAAGCATTTTGATTCCCAGCCAGCAAAGCTACTGAAACTTCTGGCAATTTTTATTCTTTTTCACAGAAAGAAAGAATTATAAGATTTAAAAAAAACTATAGAAAAATCCAACAAAAGACAAACACACGCACAAGTGTAAGAAGCGCAAATGCCGCATCACGGGATTTCAATCCAGCCAGTAGCACATGCCCCCACATGGGCCAATCAAACGCACCGTACGCATCCGACGGCGCCCGTCGCATGGACCACCGCAGCCGCCAGATCGGGACACGTCCGTACGTACGCTTCTCAGTGTAAAATGTACGGCTCTTCTCTTCTCGTTTTTTCTTTCTCGTTCCTTTTTTCTCGTCCTTTTTTTTTTCTGCTCAAGTCGCAGCCTGGACCGTAACCTTTTGCGGAGGTGGCGGCTTGTCCGACACCGATCTCAGCAGCTCCAAGTTGAAAACGAGGCCCAGAAAGTGAGAGAGGAGCGCGTTGGCACAGGCCTGGAAACAAAGCAGAGAGAGAAGAGCACGGAGCATTAGCACAGCTTTCTTCTTCGCTGTTTTCCCTGAGAACTGGGCAGAGGAGGACTGGACAACTTACAGTATGGATGGAATGGACGCAATGAAATGAAAATGCAAGCGCGAGAGAGTGAAGACGGGAGAGTTAATGCTCTCTTCTCTCGCCCGGAAATCTAGACGAATTCAAGGCGGATGGGCGAGGACGATACCTGGACGAGGAAGACGTCGAGAGCTAGCACTGGGCTCTGGCCGGCGTAGGGGCCTTGCAAAAACGGCGTTGCCGGGGAGTTCAACGCCTTTGCAACGAGCAGCCCCACCGTTGCCTGCAAGCCGACCACCGTTGACGCTAGGCCGAGAACGTTGACTATGATCCCGGTTTTGAGCTTGTCAATGACCTCCGTTCTGGGAGGAGCCTGTACGAAAACAGGAAGTTAAAAGCTAGCTTACGAGTAAACCAACAAAGGAAAGAACAAAGTAAAAAACCAACAAAGAATGGAAAAAACTAAACGAGAAAACGAACAAAGAAAAGAAAAAAAACTAAGTTTTTACCTTTGAGGGATCGTTCATAGCGCTTTCTAGCCTTCCAGACAATCGTATGTATCCAAAGGAGCGGAACACCGAGATAAATCCCACAGCAATCCCCGCGGCCGTGAGATATTTGGTCACAGTGGCTGTGGCAGTCCCGCTAACAAAGATCGAGAATGCGAGAATTGCCGCGGAGACTAGAGTGCACAGGAACTGACTCCAAAATCCGAGCGATCCCATCGTCTTGAAATGGCGAGCAGTCTCTTCGAGACGCTTTGCGACCTGCAAAAGAGAAAGAAAAAGGGGAGAGTTAGAACTTCACAAGAACTTCCGAAAAGCTTCTTCAAGAAAAACGATTTCTAGAGAAAAGAAAGAACTAAAATTCGGCATTTTTACTGACCAAGTTTCGCATGTTGATCTCCGCTGCATCCACAGTAGTCGTGTAGCTCGATCCAAACCCTGACGCTTCTTTTGTTCCATACTGAGCCTGCGCCTTGATTGACGACACATTGGAATTCTTGAATTGGATCGAAGAAGTGGTGAATTGCCTCGGAGAAGAAGAATGCGCCTGGAGAAGATTCAAGAGATTACCTCGGGGCCGGTGCTGGAGCTGGGATCGCGCGCGCAGCGGCGCGGCGGCGACGAGCCCGGCGTGGGGGAGGAGCAGTAGCGCCTGCTGCATGCTGATAAGCCCTAAACACCCCTGTTGGTTGATTAGCGCTAAGCAAAACCCGTGTTTATCGCTTACGAATGTGTCGGTGCCACGATACCCCTTGACGTGTCTAGCCCTGGGCACGTGTCTTATTACTGGCGAGAAATGCCACTTGGAAAGATAGCGATGGAAGTGCACGCGTCCCACTTCTTCGTATAAAATGAGAGGAAATCCAAATCGAATCGTGTGAAAGAATTGCAATGTCTTACGAGCAGCCCATTCGCGATCAATCCGGCATGGATCAGCAGGAGAACAGCCCCTACGTCGCTCACTCGGACGCAGTTGGGCACCTCGGGCAGCCCAGCTCGGAGAGGCCGTCGCAAGCTCCTGGAGATCGCGGCGTCCACTTTGGTAAGAACGCAGGATATGGCGACACCGAGGCGGTAAATCCCCAGTCCGGGCAGCAGCAGCAGCACCATCCCCTCGAGGCGACGCACGACACCAACATCGGCCACGGGCACGAGCCCTTCTCGGCCTCCACGACGGAGTCCGGCTACGTTGCTCCAGCCGGGGCCGACCAGCGTCACCGCGGAATGGGCGAGAAGATGAAGGACGCGGTGAAAGGCGCCGTCGGTGGTGGCCCGAAAAGCTCGTCTCACGATCAAGTTCATGGAGTTCCTGCTGGCCAGGGACCTGGAGGAGCTCACGATCAGCTTCATGGAGTTCCTGCTGGCCAGGGGACTGGAGTTCCACCCGAGCAGCAGTCAAAGAGTCCTGGATTCGTCGGCAAGATGAAGGACGCCTTGACTGGGCAGAAGCCTGGATACGGTGCTGCTACCGGACACGCCACCACTGGGGGTGCTGTTCCTGGCGAGGAGGACTACGCTGGGAAGTTCCAAGGCGAGCATGATACCAAGTGGCCTCGACCAGCTCCTCCTCCAGGTATGTCCAAAGCATCTGTTACCAGTGATCGACCTGGAGAGACCCACTATCCTTCTAATCGTCCTGACGCTGGTACTCCGGAGAGTTACTCTACTGGTCCTGGACCTTATGGTGAAGAGAAGGCCTCGAGATACCAGAATGTTGGCAAGCCTGGTCACGAGGGTACTACGTATAATCCAGAGCAGCAGCACTATGGTGGACAGAACGTCGCCGAGCCTGGTACTGGAGGTTTGATGGGAACGACTTATAATGGCGGAGAGAAGACTGGTCCTGGAACTGGAACCGAGTACGGTGCTGGAGATCATGCAACTGGAACTGCATACGGTGCTGGAGATCCGAATTATCAGAAGTCCGGTGCTGGAACTGGAACTGAGTATGGTGCTGGAGATCATGCAACTGGAACTGCGTACGGTGCTGGAGATCCAAATTATCAGAAGTCCGCTGCTGGAACTGGAACTGAGTACGGTGCTGGAGATCCGAATTATCAGAAGTCCGCTGCTGGAACTGGAACTGAGTACGGTGCTGGAGATCATGCAACTGGAACTGCGTACGGTGCTGGAGATCCGAATTATCAGAAGTCCGCTGCTGGAACTCATGATCCATCGAAGGCTGTCCAAGAAGAGATGTATCCTCCGGAGAGCTACAAGGGAGCGGAGCAGTACTCCACTCCCGGTGCTGCGAGCACTCCAGCGCCACGAAATGCTCGTCACGACACTCCGACTGGCCAGAACGAGGGTGGAGGTGAGTATAAAGACTCCCACGGTGTTCATAAAGAAGGTCCCCGGGATGACAACGTGAAGAAGGAAGGACTGATGGCGAAGATGATGGACAAGCTGCATCTTAGCCCGAAACACCGTGACCGTGCTCAACACAAAGACTCCACCACCACCACCACTTCGTAGATAAAGCTGTGATCCACCACGACCACTTCGTAGATAAAGATGTGATCGTATGAAAGAAGTGTTTGCCTGTTGTATATAATTAAAGGTTTGAATTTTGTAGATATCTCGACCAACCTGTGTAGTGGTAGCGTGAGTATAGAACCCCAGAAGCAAGGAAAGAAAACGAACCATAATTGTGTGTCCGCTGCTAGAGATAGATCACCGCTCCAGCGCACGCGTGCCTTCGGCTACGCATCTGCGGCAAACTGATCCATTCTCTCCTCGCAGGAATGTAGACGATGACAGAATCAAGTCCCCCACCATCGTAGGAGCTCGATCCTCCCGCTATGTACAAGTTTCCGGCCATTGCAACGACCGCGGAGCCCCACAAGCTGCATCGTGCTCCATGAAGAAGCTTGGAAACCGGTATAGTTCCCTTGTCTTCCCATTCTCCCCGGATAGTGTCATAAACTTGGAGCTCCAGCCTATCCATTTCCGTGAACTTGGAACCGACCACGTAGATAAAAGGCCCGATCGCCGCACAGCCAACTATGATCCAAGGCTCCTGCATCTCCGAGCAAGTCTCCCAGCTCCCCTCGCGAGGATCGAAAACCTCGACGGACGTGAGGATCAACGGAGTGCTGTAGCCACCGATCACGTAGAGCTTGTCACCAGCGACAGCCGAAGCACAGCAGCTTCTCTTCTCTTTCATGGGTGGCAGCCTTAGCCACGAATTCTTCTCTGGGTGATAGACTTCCGCAGACCTGAGTCGGGCATTCTCCGTGGAGTAGTGCCGGCAAAGCCCACCAGCGACGTAAATCCTTCCCTCTATCACACCGCAAGCGAAGGCCTCCCTGGGCTCGAGCATAGCCGCGGCCTCCTCCCAAACGTTGTGCTCAAAGTCATAGACGGCCATTTGGGGTCTCCCCGTGAAGCCACCCACGACATAGAGCCGGCCACCGAAGGCCACGCAAGGGACGTTGTGGCAGGAGCTAGAAGGCGCCGCCGGCAGCGAGCGCCAGCGGCCCTCTAGAGGATGATACATCTCAGCTAGAAGATGCCCCTTGTTCTCCTGTAGATTGGGAGAGCCCTAGTCAGAAATCGCGAAATCGCGAAATCGCGAAATCCCTCACCTGGACGCCGCCAAGCACGCATAGCCATGGCTCCAAGCGGCTCCGGCAGAGGCTGTAGCGCAGCGCTCGGCCGTGGCGGAGCAAATCGTGGAAGCGGCGGCAGACGAGGCGCGCAGCGGCCTGGTGCTGCGGCGGCAGCCACGCCAAGCATTGGACGAGGATGTGATCGGGCAGGGCATCCATGCCCTCCTCCGCCGCTCCTTCTCCTCTTCATTCTAGCACACAAAACCCTAGGACACGCATTTGGCGCCCCATTGTCTTTTCAAAATTTAAAATTACTTGTATTATATATCTGATGAATTTAAGGAGTTTAATATGCTATCACCAAAATTTGTTGCACGTAAAGTTGCATGAATAAAAAAACACATTCTATAATGATAATTATAAGATGAAATCTGAATATATTATCATTATAAATCATTAGAACCTTGGGAAGTAAAAATTTCTTTCACCAAACAATTTTCTTAAGTTTGGCTTAAAAAGAGAGTGAAAATTGTGTTGGCACATCAAATTAGGTATGGAGAAGCTTTTAAAGGCGGAGTGCAAGGATGCGAGATCGGGGCTGAGGAGGAGATCAGCTGGCGAATGGGCTGCACTGTTCCATCTCCGAAAGGCGCGGCAGGAGGTGCATTTTCCAGCCCTCGGGGACGAGATTATGTCTAAAATCGTGAGCCTAGCCGAGGAGGATCTTCGCGAGGCCGAGTGCGCTCACGAGGCCATGACTGTGTGGAGATCAGACTGCTGGCTCCCGTTTGCCTATGATCCAGAGCTCTTCAATCTGCTGGCGGTGCTCTACATCTCGCGCTGCCTCTCAGACAATCACGCAGAGTTCCAAGCCTGCCTAGCCCATCTCCATACGGCGAGCTCCGATAATCTGCATCGTCTTGTCCTGGTCGGCCAGGTTCTTGGCGAATCTGCTTTTCTCGAGGACGATTCCCCGGCGTTTGCTACTGTGGAGAGGATTTGGACGACGCCATATGAGTCCATGCAACTCGAGTAAGCTTAAGCTTGCAACTCTTCATATCCATGTCTAACTTTACGATTTACCTTTAGGCCCACTTTCACGAGTGTCACTGACATAGTGACAGAAATCATCCATTCGGGTTACTTTTGTTCTTTTCCAAGTCGAGTTGAGGTACTGAATCGACGGTGATGGTGATGTTCGTCGACTAAGCTTTTCCCTTCAGGGTCCAAACTGTGCCACCGCTTTGGTTTGTATAAGGGATCATATCGAGGCTGGAACTGGATGCGTGAGTGAGTTGCGCTGCCTTGCAGACGAAGTGATGGACTGCTACAACAGGGAGACTGTTAGTCTGAGCAAGGAAGAGTGGGACGAGTACTTTCGACTGGGGTCGCAGTTGCCAGTCGCGAATTGGGGTGGCCTTGGCTCTGGACAGGCCAAGAAACTGTTTTCCGCCATGCACGACGAGGAGGGCAGCGGTCTTTTGGCTAGTCTCTGTACTCAAAGGCCTCCTCAGTCGGCATTCCTCTCCCACTTGTTTGCACTGTTCGACTGCGCAACACACGCGAGGCTTTGGCTCTGCAAATCCACTCTCCCTGTCTACTACGCCTTCAGCAATGTCCAGTGTAAGCCTCCTACAGATCTCATGTCTTTGCATCTGATCGATTACGTTGGTTTTTCACAGATTGCAATCTTGCTTGTTCAAACACTGATAGAGAACCTGAAAGTGAACGCCAAGTTTTGGTGAGTTGAAACCAAATCCTTGTTTTGTTTTTCTCATTTTGGGCCGTTTCTCTACAGGCGTCACCACTTGGCTTTCAGGAGCGTGTTCCATCGTATATTGAGCGACGCCAAAGATGGGATGCCATACGTGCCCACAGCAAGATGGGAAAATACCCATTTGTCATGAGTATGCGAATCCCCGTCTGCCGTGCTCTTCGAGTTCCTGTTGTTATCTGCAAGCCTCAGGACGTGGATATTGTGGAGGATCACGATTTTGCCGTCTGCTTAGACCATTTCCTGTGGTTTGAATCGGTTCCAAGGCTCAATTTTCTCTTTGCAGCGGTGGACGTGTACAAGTTCACTGACAAGGAGCACACAAATATGCTTCCTGTTGATCAAGACGAGCTTAAAAGGTACTACAGTGTGACCGAGTTCCTCAAGGTGAGAGCCGAGTGGACTTTAAGGCGCTTCAGACGTAGAAAAGCCGTGCAATCTTACCGTACAGACGATTCCTAGCTTAGACTTCTCATGGTTGCTCCGAAAAATCGATGGCCATGGGGAGCTGCGAATCCATGGAGGGCTGATTTTAATTTTCCACCTCCAGTACACAGCTGACATGAAGTATTTTTGCTTGGTGGAAGTATCTCTAAAGCTGTTTCTGTCGATATAATATTTCAACCCAGTGCGTTCTTGCACAGCTGTACGAAATGGCCGCTAAAAATCCTTGCCGAAAACCCCTGTGTTACCTACCATCCTGAATCAGGGCTGGAAGGGATTCTTGACTCGAGCACCATCCTCTGGAAATGATTCTCTTGGACAGAAGCACGGCTAAGGCCACAAGCTTTGCCAGGTGCACAATTTTTCCTTTTTGAGCTACTAACATAACAGGTATTTTTGGAGAACCATCTTGACATTAATAATAACAACATGAGCTTTAGCACTGTCTTTCCTTATTAAAGCAAGCTTTTGTTTTACACGTGAGTGTAACACTGTATCATATCAAAAGCACATATCCATGGTTATAGAAATAAAACATTTTACTCAATTGGTATTGCACAAGAAACATTCCCATAGAATGGGCTGGTACTACATCCAAGGAACAACATAACACAGAGATGGCTGACTATGAAGCTCTACATGAGAAGCCATCATATGAAGAGATGGAACATCTAAGTAAGGATGTGAATGGAGCTTCTAAGGTGGACAAGGTAGTTACTCTAAGCAACGAGGTGGTGCAAATTCCATGTATGGTGAAGGTGGAAGTAGAAGTTCCTCCTCCACATAAAAATGGAGGAAAAGCTGGAAGTGGCCTTCGCTGAAGAAGGTGGAGAATTTACTGGAGACTTCCTATGAAGAAGCCTTGTGTGAAGACAAGGTTCCTCCTCCACGTGAGATGGAAGAGGAGGTGGAGGCTCCTTGTGAGAAGGCCCTATGTCAAGATTCTATATGAGATAGAGGATCCATAGCATGAGTTGGAGCCCTCTTGTGTGGAGGTTAAGGCAAAGGCTCAATGTGATGAAGGGGAGGCTGAAGTAGCAAGTGAAATTACATAGCTTGAGCCACAACCCCCTCATCATGGTGTGCTTGTGGCATTGGTGAGTTGCAATTTCTTATTATGCAATCAGAGAAGAACTTATATTTTATTGTTCATGACATGATAACATGTGTAACTTTACATTATACAACCTGAGAGTTCATTTTTTGCCTATCAAAAACTATATTCATCTTTTATACATGTATAGTTAAATAACTCCTTTAGGCAAAATTGATGCCTAGCAATATTTTATCATCATATAATGATATAGAGGGATTAAACTCAATATATAAGGGTTTTTATCAAGACATAATGTGACTTTTTAAAAGAAAGCAATATTGAGGCACTTATAGATGTATTAGATCTAAAATGTGATTAAATTTGTAGCAAAAACTGAAGTGTCTTTCCAAATCCCTAAAATGGTTGCTCTTGAGATATACTAGCACTCCATGGTTCATCACCTCTCAAACCAACATATGACTTTAGCTCTTATCACATCCCATTGGACTTACATACTCCATCCATGTCATCCTTGACACTGAATATGTTTTCAAGCTGAACTAATGGCCAGACTTTTTGCTCCTTTGAACTAGTCGAGAACATCTTTACTCCTAGACTTAAATTCTAGAACATTTTCTAATTCTTGCATCACCTTGAAAATTTATTGCTAGAGGTAAATTGGACTTATCAAATGGCAGTTTAAACATATAGTGTGACTCCTTTAATCAACCAATAGAGTCAATACATCTCTTAAAAGATAATGTGCTTATA